TGAGCTCATGCGCGGTCTCAGGGTTTATTCTAAGCTACTTCCCAGAATTTTTTTCGTATATGCTTATGTACTGCGTTTCCTCCAGTTTGGTGTCATATCACTTTTAATTTAGTAAAACATGCGCGACGTTGTAATTATTAATTCCTCAATAATGCTTTCAGAAAGACAACGTGATGGAACGCCGCGATCTTTTGACTCTCCAAAACGTTAATTACTCTCCATTGTAGTGAGGAATGTGCCGTAGTTTTATCTGTTACAGAGCGCCAGGTTCCATGGTTTGACTTTCATACTTACTGTTTTGAGTGTTCGTATTATATATTCTGTTGTTTCTTTCTTGTTGATTACAGTCACGAAATAGCTGTGTTTCTGTGACACGAATAGTTTTTATCTGTTTTGAACTGTAAGATACGCAAACGGCATTTGAGGTCGAAGCGCCAAAACTCATAGGTTTTATCATTAGTTAAGTTCTCATGGGCGTTTTGCTTATGCTTGCTTCCTTTCATTTCAAGATCGCTCGCGTCATATAAATTGTGATCAGGGCTTTGAGTTTTGCCCAAAGCTCATGACACTTTATGACTTTCTTTCACATCCTCAATTTTTGCTATCTTGTAACATCACATTTCTCAACTTTATGTAAGTCCCATTATTCCATGAATGTTAGCTAAACTGGTTAGCTGGCATCGTTGACTCCAGAATGAAATCTCAGTATTTAATCATCTTGATTTAGACTTGTATGAAATTTCTGGGGAAGTGCAGTCGTTTGATAGTTTGAGGCAGTAGAGCTTTGTGTTTAATGATTTGATGAGTCGCGATTTAAAAGTTTAGCCATATGCTATGATTGAGTTTGGGTGTTTGCACCGATTACTTGATACACCGTCAGCTCCTGAGCGTGTTTTGTCTCACCTCTTTACTATTAATTCGAGTACACTACTCCTCTTGCTAGCTCCGTTCGTTTTCATTAACGTTTTTATTTCTCTTTACATATAAGTTTGGTCGTTTTTATGACATGTTGCTGTTTCTCCACTCTTGTACTGTTTATATATAATTTGGTTTGTATGATGTTTCTTAAACGTCTTGTATCAACACTGATTTTAAAAATTCATTTCAACGTGTATTAATTACTAGAATTTTTGATTACCTTATCTGTCGCAATTCCATTTGAATGTGTTCTTATGAATGATGAAGTTGAATGTTGAATAAGAATCATACTTCCGTTTTCAATAATTTATAATGCTCGGTTGGCCACCGTTCAATATTATGTGACGCATCCAAGACAAGCCGCCTGCACTACTGCTACTGATAAGACCTGCGAAAGGTGTGTGACAACTATTTACAGGGTCCACGCTACCTTCTAGTTGGTGCACTGGTATAGCGAGGAAATGTTTGCACACTATATTCCTCCAGGTCAGCGTTTCATAAATTTATCTTCTTCTTTCGTTTTTTTTTTCTTTCTTTTTTTGCTCTATCGCCTTCCTATATCCACCTTTGTTTCTTGCTAGTAGTAGTTTGATTCAGAGTTAGCCGAATTGGTGCAAGCCGGTGTTTTTGTACCTCTGGTAGGACCAAATGGCCGACCAAATGGAAGGACTCCACCCTATACGTTACCGCTTGCTCATCTCCCAATGATGCACATGGCAGCCCGAGTAAGTAGCTTTCAATTCCATGCTTTGACTGATACCTTTTTAAACTAGCGTTATCGAATGGATCTTGAAATGATCTTATAATTTTTGCACGATGACAACTTTTTTCGATAATGTTTTGATTGTTATATTGTAGTGTCCTTTATATTACAGTCTCCAG